TGTGATCTCCCCAGCCCCTGCCAGTCGCTCACTGTCCGCTTGAAGAGAAAGATGGATGCCTTATTATACTAGGACAGATTTTATATACTCTCATGTACTATCTTTAAGTTGCTTTGCTGAAGTAATTTATTTCCAGCTGCTTATTCAATTGGCATCTGGTGGTGATGAAAAATACTTCATTTCTCATACAAATATTTTCATTCTTTTTTTAGCAGATAACAAATGAATAAGAAATCAATTTTTATTTATCTGATTACACAATTAATGATTTCATATCTAGATTTCAGCAACATTATGTAGTTTTTCATGTTGACCAGAATCCTACTGAGATTATAAGATCTGATAAATTTAGACTTTTGCCTTGAATTTATCAATCTGAAATAGTGATCAGTGTTCACTCCATGTCTCATCCTTCTGAAGCATATTCATAGCAGAAGTTTAAAAGCTGACACCTCATATTAATTATCTCCAAAGAAATGTTTTGTTTAAAATTTAAACCAATGTCATTTTTTGTTCTGTTTAGAAATTTTATTTTGTTATCAAATTACTATCTGCTGCATGTATTATGACTATGGAACATTTGACCAACATAGTAATGTATTTTATAATTTCAAAGTCTATGGCTACAGTCAAAATATAATCTCACAGCCTCCCTTTGTGGAAGCCACAAACCTAGACTTCTTTGACACCAATGCTCCCTCTTTCAAGCCTAAGCTCAATAAATTATCTAGTTTCTAATAATGGAAGTCTTCCGTTGAACCATCCATATTCCCAAGCAAAAATTTGCTTTTATTTCTTGAGAAAGGTCAGCAGGAAACCCTACCCAGATTTTGCAGTGAGTGGCCTTTGCTTTTATGCATGGTTCATTCTGTTTATAGAGCACCTTTATGTACCTCAAAGCAGAAGGACTTCAGTAAGTGCAATTAGAATGTCCTCGCAAATAAACTGTCAAAAATGAATGTGCGTCAAGTCTGCATTAAATTTTGACAGTATAAAGAAAGGGAGGCTATGGTTATATTGCACTGTTTCCAAACTGATTATCCATAACAGAGGCTCCACTTGATACCAATCTTTTACGTGCATTGCCAGACTAAACAAGTACCTTTTAAGATTCATCCATCACGATTTATGATACGTTAAGCCAAATCTAATGTTCTCTCGGGCTGGTGTTAGGGGATTTTCAATAGTTAGACTAAGAAATTGCATTTGGGGAAAGGGACTTCTCCTCTCTTTTTCTATAGAATTGCTTTAGTTCTATAGAGTCTCATTAAGTCTACTAGACCCCTGGTATACTCCAGTACTAATCACAGATTGATTTTAAGAGTTTGAAATCTTAACTGGTAGCAGGAGATAACTTTAAATTAACATTGCATGAACTACCAGAAATTGTTCACTGAAAAAGAGAATGTTTAATTGTAAATGAAGGAACCTCCTTCCCAGCTGATTAACTGTATTAAACCCTTTATATTTTCAAAGTTCAAACACAGTTGCTAATAAGCTATTTCTCACAATGGGTCTCCAAAGGGAGCCTAATACTATCACCTCCTATATTTATAAATGACACACTTGACCCATAGATATTATTGCTCATCTTGGACTCCATAGAAATGAGAAAACTAGAATTAAGTTGCAAGTTCTCAATACACCCATGCTTTGGTTTCAGACCTATGCTCTTAGTTTTCTGAACAATCAAAGCAAGTGAGAAAACCAAATAAATGTTCCCATCCTCTGCTACTATAGGTGACTACACACAGAAAGACAAACACGCACACACCATTTTATTTTTCTTTAAACATTTCTACCCTGCATGCAAAACCAGTTATTCTGTCACAGGGACAACATAAACACAGAGATATGGCTCCCCAGTAAATTAACTACATTATTTATTCTGATATTCCTTAACTTGAGTTCACTTGACAGACTTATTTGCCCCTCTTTTTATCTTCAGACCCTGTGTCATTTAGAAGACCAGTGTGAGTGTCTTAGGCCAAATCATAGAATTGTTTGTTACTAAGACTGACAAATATTTGGGGCAATAAATTCATTCTTAAAAGCACAAATGATCATATTGCTGTCTATCTAATTGTATAATTATATGTTATGTCTAATCTTATTAATTTATTGATTACAGCTTTATGATATTTTAATGTATTTATAATATTTTTAGTCTGGGTTTTTCAAGTTTTATTATGAATAGTCTATATCACATAATACAGATACTGATTTCATATTTTAAGTGGTTTTTGAGTTGTTTAGTAGTTTAAATCCAATTTGATAAGTTTGCAACTCTCTCAATGTCAATATCATTTTAATATATCATTATGTAGAGTATAGAACTAGAAAACAATAGCTGCACAACATAAATGATAATCACTTAAACATCTCAGTTTTTTGTTGTATGTTTTTACATGTAACCAACTTTTAAGTTTGTAATGAAAATTATTCTAAAATGTACACTATATGTACCCTCATGTTAATCATATAAAGTTATTAATAAATTAACATTTGTAATACTAAAACTTTCAAAATTGTGACTTGTCTTTTGTTTGAAAACTCTTTCTTCTTACTATTTTTCTTTAGAATAATGGAAATTATTAGCAAATGATACTCTCATTTAGGTGCTATGGTGCTAAATGCTCTTGGCAAATTGCTTTAAATCTGTTTTAAAAAGAAAAGATATTCTATGTTATTATGATTTGCATTGTGCTCTATATAATATATAATTACATTTGAATTGTATGTGCACAATATTCAAATTACATTTGAATTTTTTTTTTTGAGTTGGAGTCTCACTCTGTCTCCCAGACTGGAGTGCAGTGGCCACTCCCGGCCACTGCAGCCTCGACCTGCTGGGCTCTGGCGATCCTTCCACCTCAGCCTTCCAAGTAGCTGGAACTACAGGTGTGCACTAACACGCCCGGCTGATTTTTGTTTTTTTTTTTTTTAATTGTATAGGTGAGGTCTCGCCAAGTTGCTCAGGCGGGTCTCGAACCCGCGGGCTCAGGCAATCCACTCACCTCAGCCTCCCAAAGGTGCGGGATTACAGGCTGAGCCACCAAGCCCGGCTTACATTTGAATTGTATGTGCACAATATTATATATCTAATATAGTAGCCAGATACTGACATCTTTAAAATCAAATTTCCCTTTCTAAATACAATGTGCATTCATACTTCAGTCCTATGAAAGTATAAATATTACCCTAGATAACAGAATACCGTAATGTATACTAATTTCATCTTAAAGTAACTTACTGATAAAGATATGGTTAGAAATAAGTAAGATTCCCAAGAGAACTTTATTATAGAAAAATTTAATAAATAACAATATAGGATTGTGAAGTAAGCATTTGTCTTCTGGGATTTTCATTAAGACTAAACTCAGTACATTTTAAAACAGTATTGGGGGGGTTCTATGAGATTCAGGCGTAAGCATTTAAAACATTCCATATCAATGTAATGTGTGGATTCTCTAGACGTAAGTATCATAATTTTTTTTAATAAATTGGCTTAAAATCTATGAATATGCAAGCTGGAATACATGAGGGATATAGTTATGTCTATTCTGTTCATTTCATTGAATTAGCGCCTAGCTGAATGGCTAGTTATGAGAAGTCCTACAAATATACCTTGAATCAAAAGAAAGTTACCCTGTTTTTGATACTTATTCATCTCTTCTCACTAAGGCACAAACAAGAATGCAGATGAAAATACTTGAGCTTAAAGAGTAAAGAAATCTAGATACAAAATGTTTTAATATTTAAAAATGTATTCATCTCTAATTCATTCTGTGCAGTTCTGTAGATTTTCATAATGCTCCCTGGCCTTGATTGGACTGAGGAAAATTTAGTTAAATTAAGAAGAGATCATTGAGAATGCAATTAGAAAGCCCTGGTATTTGCAAGTCCATTAAAGCCATGGCATTTTTGGTAATATCATTAATGCATGTAGGCTTAATGGCAACCTGAATGACAAATATTTTATTTTGATAATTGTGTTTCACTGCCTATGCTTATTTCAGAATACCAGGATAGTTACATTAAGGGAGAAGGGAAGTGAAGTAGAAAAGATGTTGGGGGAAAAAAAGTGTTTTTTAAGAAAATCACTGTGATAAAGGAAAGCAAACCCTATTTTATATTGAGTTCTGTGGTATCATTCAAAATTCAGGTCCTTAGAAATAGACACTACCCCAGCAGCCTTCTGGTAGTCATCACAACTGACCCAGATTGTGAGACCAGCACTGACCTTAAACCCAGAAAGCCTGGCTGTTAGGATACAAACGTGACATGTTTCCAAGCCATCTGCCCAGAGTTTCTTTTGGTCATCTGCATGAGAGAGCCTACAAACAGTTTTATCTGGAAACATCTGTGTATAGGAAAATAGAGAAGTTCATAGCAAATGTTATGAAAATGTTTTTGTTTCCCAGGTTTTTTTCAGTTCAGATTATTTATTTCAATATGTGGAAATGCTTCATGAATATGAGCTGACTCAAGTCTTACCAAATTAGTGCTGGTCAGCATGGTGAGCAAAGATGACCTTAGATGGATTTCTTTCAATATGACATTTGTACAAAGTTAGAGTTGTTTGAAAAATTATACAATAATTAAGGGGTAACATAGGGAAGGAATTAGACTAAATTATCCATATCATTACTTCTAATTGTAACACCCTATGACTTTATATTAACAGGTCCTAGCACTTGTTTAAAATTAATGGCAATAATGGTTAAGTATAATTTCATATAGACTTAAAGCGTTATTTTTCATATGACTGAAAAAGTTTATCTAATTTGTAGAGATGTACTTAATGTCTTTTAGTGACTTAAGTTTTTAGATTATTTCTGAGTTATTTAAATGAGGCTTACTATGTGCACACTACTTGGACATAAAAAAATGTACATTTTATTTTACTATATTTCAGCCCAGAGATGATTATCTAGAGTGAATGCATCCCTACAATTATGAAAGTAACACTAACACCTTATGGAATTTTTATGTTTTAGCATTAAAAAAAGGACGGTTTTGGATCACACCAGATCCTTATCACAAAGATGACAACATCCAGATTGGGCGTGAGGTGAAAATATCTTGCCAAGTAGAAGCTGTTCCTTCTGAGGAGCTAACATTTAGTTGGTTTAAAAATGGTCGTCCATTAAGAAGTTCTGAGCGGATGGTTATTACACAGACTGATCCTGATGTCTCCCCGGGAACAACAAACTTGGACATCATTGATTTAAAATTCACGGATTTTGGGACATACACATGTGTAGCATCTCTGAAGGGAGGAGGAATATCTGATATCAGTATTGATGTTAATATATCCAGCAGCACAGGTAAGAAGCCTACTTATGATGCAAAAGATGTTCACATTTACAATAATTGAAGTTCAGCTGACAAAATAATCTTGTTAAGAACATCCTTAGTTGGTTTAAATTTCCTAAAAACAAAATTATAATATTCAGAAGGTTTAATAAGTATCAGGTTGTGAGACATTGTTACTTCTGTTTTAATTTACATGAGATGGTACAGAAATCATGCAAAGGTATGATAATTGACTAAGGTAGATATTGGCATCTAGGTCAAGTGATACCCATTTTTTATTAACTAGAAACCCTCTGTAGAGCCTAAACTTATATTAGTAAAGTTAAACAACAAATACCTGAAGAGTTAAGACAATTCTTAGAAATTTTAAATATGCAAATGATTTATTTCTAGGAAAAAAATGCTGAGATAAGAACGTTCAAACATAAACTATATAAGAAATGTATCCTCCACTAACAAAACCAATATATTAAAGATGTGTGAGATGTGACTTTTTTGAAGCATCTTATGTTAGTATATCTTCACCATGAGAATATTTGAAAAAGTATTGGAGAGAAATTTTTTTAAGATTAAAATGAAAATCTGTTATCTATTTTTTCTTGATTAAAAGTACATCCGTAGACAAGGAAAATTATAGGCGCTTGGTATCAGAGAGCACATTTGGAGGCTTTAAAGCCCTGTGATCAGTGAAGCACAATCAGCATGCATCCAGAAAGTTCCAGAGCAACTGTATTAAACCTGTTACCAGGTTGAACTTTAATTGAAGATTCTTACATCATGTTGGGTGGATGATAGGTGTTGAAAACATAGAGCACACATGTAGTAGACATAATCTGTTTTAAGGCATGTTTAACACTTGCTTTTTTGTTCCAATCAGGCAGCATTTGACTTTTGTATGTTAGGTATTCACCTGTAATTCTGTGCCTTCTCATGGTTTCAAATTGCAGTGCACACAGGATTGATTTTGCTCCTTAAGGAATAGAGGTCCTGCTTCAGACTGACAAAATGTGCTTAACTTTGCACAGTTTTGCTTGCTTCTAAAATATATTCAATTTTTATCATCTGCAACAAATGTAAAAGGAAGTTAGGGTGAGGAAAAGGACTCATGTGTGAACATTATTCTTTTTCTAGGCAACAATAAAAAGACAGCCAATATATATTTTTAACCTGATATTTAAATACTGATGCTAGCACTGGGAAATTAATGTATGCATGTTTAGGATACCTGATGAGAAACTGTTGACTTGTCCAGTCAGTTATCAGGTGTTCACATATTCATTCAATTAACAAATATCATTTGGTTTCCTGAATCAATGTGCTAGATGACACAGCACTAGATGGCATTTTAAAGATGATGCTTCCTATAAGAGTAGGATCAGTTCTGTAAGATCCAAGATTATTTGTTTTTATTTTCTGAGGGATGCTTTACCAGAATTTTCCAGACTTAATTATAGGCGTTGCTTTGTTTGGTTTGGTTGCTTGTGCGGTTTTTGTTCTCTTGCTTTCTTTTCAGAACCAGTGACATAAAGCACAGATCCAAAGGATCAATGTTTTCTGTTTAAAAAGACTCCTTGGATGGGAACAGAGTTTATAAATCACTAAAGTTAATTCATTTGTTTGTATTTTTTAGATTAGAAAATATAGTTTATTTAAAAGTGAATTCGAGAGAAAGAAAGAGAAAGAGAGAGAAGATTCACCTTCCCAAGGTAGGGAAGGGACCAAAGCCAGGAAACATGACCTGACCATAGCTCGAAGAGCACATGACCACACTATAGCTTAGCAAGATAATGGTGGTGACTTGGGAGTGACTGAGATGATCCAGCAATGACCCCGCTAACGTTAAATTTAAATGGAACACAGAGCAGAGAAGAGAAAGAAGCATTATATAATTACTCACAAAATGAGCCCTACCATTCATTTTTAAATATCCTACTTACATTGCCTATTTGAAACTATGTGTTATAAATGACAAAATAGAAAGGATAACCAATATTAACTTGTAAAATTTCCAAAGATACTAAAAAAAGATCCAAGATGATCAGAAAGCAGATTTTACTCAAGAAAAACCTCTTAGTAAGATGTTAATTGTAATTATAAGTTTTCTTAACTAATATTAATCTGTTGGGTTACCAAAGATTAGAGATAAAAGAAATGTATTAAGTCTTCTTCCAAAATGCTACCCCCTGCAATCTCTCTCTCTCTCTCTCTTTTTTTTTTTTGAGTCGGAGTCTCATTCTGTCGCCTAGACTGGAGTGCAGTGGCATGCTCACCACCACCACAGACTTGACCTGCTGGACTTAGGTCATCCTTCTGCCTCTGCCCTCCAGGTAGCTGGAAACCCAGGCGTGTGCCACCACAACCGGCTAATTTTTTTTTTATTTATTGTAGCGATGAGGTCTCACCAAGTTCCTCCAGCTGGTCTTGAAACACTGGGCTCAGGCACTTCTCTCACCTCAGTCTCCCAAAGTGCTGGGATTACAGGTGTGAGCCATCGCACCCACATAAATGTTTATGTGGTAAACATTTCTTCATGTTATATGTGAGTTATTTTAAGGTGACATTTTAAAACATTAAAAAAAATTTTATGCCTTTTGTCTTTCATACAAAATGTTACATTGAATCCCAATTGTTACTGTGTTCTAAGAGACATATATGATATTCATTAAGATGAGAATGAAATACCATAAGGTGTTTATGCCTAAGATGGAAAATCACTTTTTAAAAGGACAGAGTCACACTTAAACATGTTTTTGATGACTTGTTTATTTTTATTTTTTATTTTTTTGTGTTCTATCTGTTTTTGGTGACTTTTTCCTCATGATTCTTTAAACACACAATTGTTCTTATCGAGGGTATCTGTTGTTTGTCAATTTGAAATTTGTGTTTTTTGCAGATTTTTTTCTGAGTTTTTGCAACATACAAGATCTGAGTTGTATAGTGATAGTACAAATAGGCCTTGCCCTTAAGAAACTTACAATCTAAGTTTAAGAAGTTTAGGCTTAGATTGTAAGCTTAAGGACAGATTATGTTAAAACTAGGCATAAATAGATAGTGAGTTTAAAACTTTATTAGACCTCAAGGGAAATTGTGAATACTTTTGTCAATGTGGGTGGGTACAGGAAGTTTCACAGAAAAATGGCATTTGAATAAATCTTGATGAAAGTAGCACTGTGATAATTAGTGACAGTGGAAGGAGAATTCATCTGGTAAAATACATAGGATGAAGAAAGTCTCAGGAATATTAAAGTGATTGTTTATTGTTTTACTATAGAATTAATAATAATTTATTTGAATATAAGAACTATATTGGCTTATTTCAATTTTATAATTTTCATTGCTGAAGCTATATTTTATCTGGCTGAACTGTAGATAACTTAAAAATTGTAAATATTTCCATTGAAAACTAATATACTGGAACTTTAATTGCTATAATTCAATTTTTAAAATAAAAGTCCTTCACATACTTGCTGCAAAAAAAAATGCATGTGGATTTTAGCGGAAAAATTTGGCAACAGTTAAAATCAAATTCTTAAAATACTGTCACTTGGTGACCATTAATTTGCATAAATATAATTGTCATTCATTTACATGAATATAATTGTTATGCAGTGATAGATTTTTAATTTTCAGAGAGCTTGTTACATAATATCTCATTGCTTCTTTCAGTATTGCTCCATGGTAAAGTCTTTGGGTGCATGTTAGCTTGCATGCTTTCCTTTGTGTGATTTGACAAACTTGGAGGTTTCGAGTAAACTCTGAAGCATTTACACTATGTCTTGAAAATCTAAACAGTGAGACTGGTGATTTCTGAAATCCTGTTGGTGAGACATCTGCTGGGCAAATATAAGAGAAGACTCAATACAGATTTTGATGTTGATGTTTTTCTCCCTTGTTAGAGTACATAGGCATTTTTATGTGACAGGAAGTGGAGCAAAATTTAGGGGATTAAAACAAGACACTAAAACATAAACATAGGTGCACAATGGTGACCAACTAAGAAAATTAGTTCAAAAGTTTGACTTTGCTGCTGGCTATCTCTCTAGTTACTTTAATTGTGTTACTTAACAAGTGTCTGTACAAGAATTCACATTTGCAAAATGAAAGTTTTGGGTATCGTAGGACTATAGTACACAACAAGTTAGAATAGTAAAAGCAGGAGTGCAAAGGTAAAAAATGACTAAATCCACTTAATTGGATTTCCTTCTTTGCCCTTTTTCAAGTTAAGGAGGAATAGAAACTCATGAAATTCTGCTGATTAAAACTGAAGTTCTATAGAATGACTACAATGAAAGATAGGTTATCTTGTATAAGTGAAAGTCATAAGTGTAAGACGAACACATAAAACCCCGAGAGTTCTTTGATCAGAGGAAGCTTCCATGCATTCAAAAGTTATATACTTGATACCTGAGTTACTGGACAGAGAAACATTAATTTCATTGCTTGAATCTAAAATTGTGGAATACAATCTATGACTTCTGGATTAATGATGAAGACCAGAGGTCAGCAAACTTTTTGTAAAGGGCTAGAAGGTAAATAGTTTCAGCTTTTTAGGCCATATGGTTTCTGTCATAACTATTCTGCTTTGCTATTATAATGAGCAAGCTGTCATAGACAATAAATGAATGGACACAGCTGTGTTCCAATAAAACTTTATTTACAAAAATGGGTGGTAGGCCATATTTTTTCCACAGGTTAATCTGTGTTGACCTAAAACTTACATTTTTGAAATCCTATTAATTAAGAAATAAGTTGCTAATAAATTTGAACTTTACAGACTTAGTAGGAAATTAAGTTAAGCTTACATATAACTAAATGTTATTTGTCTACACAAACATGAATTCATTTCATAAAAATGAGGCAAATTCTTAAACTTTAGTACTCATTTGCATAGAAGCTGTTAATTGTCTGTCAAAGGGGTCCAAGTTATGGAAATATGTTGTAAGGATTCCTCACATGATTTTATAATAGCTCAAGTCTAATTTCTAACTTACAAAATTTCCTGCTGCTGTTC